CACGATTAAAGTGGTAAAAATTTGCATTTCATTCTGAATAAAAAAAAAAAATTAGTATCAGTAATAATTTCATTATAAATGATTAAATTTTTAAATTTAATAATAAAATTAAGGAAACATGAAAATTTTCAAACACCATGAACACTCGATTATGTGTTCGCATCTCAATATTTGGCAGATTGTGCAACCACATAGGGAACCCTCTGAAATAAAAAGAAGATGAAAATTAGAATTTCTTTCAGAAAATTTTAATTGCTTTACTACTGTATTATAATAATAATAATTACCCGTAATTCCATTCCCCACATATGTATGGGCCAATACGGAGAATGACATACATTCGTTCTTCCTGAATGGTTTTAATAAACCTTACCAGGTCTTTATTTCCAGTGAAATCATACTACAAAACAAAAATTAAATTCTAAGTTAAATTATACGCTTAAAATTAATTATAATGCTATATGAAGATTGAAAAAATAATAAAAAATGAAAACACCTGACGAGGCTGAGGTTCATGAGCATTCCAGAAAACATAGGTCTCAATGGCATTTAGACCACCATCCTTAGCCTTTTTTATCAAATCCGGCCACATCTATACATAAAAAAAGATATGTTAAAAAAAATAAAGAAGTAGTTAAACAAAACATATATAATTATAGGAAACTCGAATTATGGCTTACATCTGCAGTGCTACGGGGGTAATGTATGGAACCAGAGAGAATGAGTTTTCTTTCGCCATCAAACATGAATGATCTTGAATCAAAGGTGACTTCAATAGCATAAGAGGAGAAGGTAAAGAACAAAAGAGCTAAACCAAAGGTGAAGAATCTGTAGAAAGAAGCCATTGCCATGAGCAGGATAATGTGTGAGAGATAATGAGTACAACAGGATGATATAGCACATATATATAACAGTGTGGTAAGCCAATTTTTTTTTTTTTTAATCATTTGAATTAGATTTTATCCAATAAGAAAGAATGATTTTACGGGGAATCAAAAATTGAAAATAAGATTTATTGTTGCAAACTGTTTTTAGTTCAGATTAACTTATGATTATCTATTATCAAGACCTGATTTTTGGCTACTATCTCTCCTTTTAAATTTTAAATTTTTAAAAATTTAATCTTTAGGTAAACGATCATCTAGTTGTTTCTCGGCCTCTACTTTCTTTTTCTTTTGAGACATTAATAAGAATTTAATTGCCTTCGATTTTGACCAAAATTTTCGAGAGCTCAAAAATTTTCTTTTTTTTTTTTTTTGACGATGGAAATTATGTGGTTAAGTTAGCATCTGTTCTACACTGGGAGGATTCGACCTCAAGACCAAAGGGTGCATTCCACTTTGCTGCTGCGCAGCGTGACCACGCGGGCCACGTAGGGGAATGCTCGAGAGCTAAAATTTTGATTTCCAATGAAACTTGTACATATTATACATTGGGTTCCCTGTCTTACAGAGATGGTGGAATGGAGAGGACCAATATCATGGGCTAGTCTCTCATGCAACCATCTCTATTGTACAGTTCAGACTGGATAATCTTAACTTACCCCAAACTGCAGGGAAAAGTATAAAATTACAATGTACCAAAACATTACGGAGGATAAATTACATTTGGATCAGTCACCAACAATCTCTACAGGAGCATATTCCACCCGAGAAGTAATGAAATCCAGAAGCATCTCTTACAACTATCTCCCTCCTGGTAACTATAGAAACATGCTTCAAGAATGTATGGCAGTCTCCACAAAGGAGTATGTTCTTCACAATCTGAATGGGTTCTCTTGACTTGGAAACTAGAAGTTTATAAGTTACCGCAAGTTTTGCACTGTGATAGTATAAGAAATCCTTCTTCTGATGCTCCTCAACTTCATGAAGTACGAAGCTAGTGTTTGGAACATATCCAGCTTTTAGGCATTCTAAGATCAATACCTCTAACTCACTGTAGATACCTTTTGCTTGGGGATGAGATTTATCTCTTGCATAGAATGAGTGCAGCTTCTTGTCTTGAATGATCCAACTTCGAGCAGGATGTTTACGGAACCCCTTTGCTCGCATATCTTCTCTGGCCATGTTAGAGCAATGCCACCTCCCAGATGCAGAGTACAGATTTGATACAAGTATGTACGTTGAAGGATCTTGGGGCTCCATTGCTACTATATGCTTTGCAACCCGTTTCCCAATGGTTGTGTTCAAATGGATTCTACAACTGTCGAGTAAAGCACGCCAAACAGAAATATCAGGTTCAAAAGGCATTTTGTTTACCAATTGCTCTGCTTCTTCAAGAGGAACCCATTTCCCTAAAACACCAATAAAGGCAGCATAATGTTCTGAAGTAGGCTCAATATCATACTTGGTTTTCATGGACATGAACAGTTTCCGACAGTCATCAACTATATTTGAGTTAGTATGTCTATATGCTGAAATAACTAAAATCAAAGTGATTGCGTCTGGCTTTGTTCCTGCCTCCAGCATCCTAGACCAGACAGCCAAGGCCTTATCTCCCTGTCTATGAAGCAGATGACTAGAAATCAAAGCATTCCATGATACTACATCTTTTGTAGGCATGCTGTTGAAAACCTTCGTTGCACCATTTATGTTGCCACATTTAGCATACATGCTTATTATGGAATTCGACACTTCTGAATCAAACATGAACCCAATTTTAATAGCGTGAGAGTGGATCCCCTCTCCTATCTGGTAAAACCCTAAAGTTCCACATACACCAAGTACAGAAGTCAATGCTACCTCATCCACATTCTTTAAACTCCTACAGAAAAGAGAAATTGCATCATGGGGCTGCCCATTTCGAGCATACCCACACACCATTGATGTACATACAACTGAGTTGTCCTGGTCAGATGGCCACTTCTGGAACATTTTCTCAGCATCTGTCATCCTTCCACACCTTGTGCACATATCAAGCAATGCAGCTTCAATACAAGCATTTAATCCAAAACCAAATTTTATGCAAAATCCGTGAATTTGCTTACTGATTTTTGAATCCATTAGCAATGAACAAGCATTGACAATACTCGTCAAACTGAAATCTGTCAACTCTAAACCCTCCTCCACCATTTTGACAAACAGCTTGAGTGCTTTCAGCCCTTCACTGTTCTTGCAAAATCCTGCCAATAGGGCATTGAAAGAAACAGAATTCTTCTCTGGCATCTTCTCAAAAGTCTCCAAAGCCAAATCAACCATCCCAAATTCCATATAGGCTGTAATCATTTCTGTCCAGGTGACAACATCTCTCACAGGCATTCTCTCAAACAATGTCTCTACATCTTTCATTGTACCACATTTTGTCTAGAACCCAATGAGTGCATTGTTCACACTCAAATTGGTGTCTAATCCAATCTTGATAACATGGGCATGAACTTCGTGGCCTTGCAGCAAAGTATTAGTGCTTGCACAAGCAGTCAACATTGTTGAGACAATAAAGTAATTGAATCTAAAACCATCATTGCACTGCATACTACGGAACATATCAAAAGCTTTATTATACATTAGCTCATTCAGTATGCTTAATATCACAATATTCCACGATGTAATATCTCTTTGAGGCATTTCATCGAACAACTTAACCACAAACTCAAAGCCATCAAATTTGACATACAATCCCATAAGATTGTTAACAACAAAAACACTAACCAAATGGCCCATTTTGATAACCAGGGCATGAACTTGCAAACCTATTAAGATGTGAACACAAATTAGATTATATTCACACTTATTGTAAATATTTTATACTTTAGAATATTCTTTTTATATACTTTATACCTTAGAATATTCTTTTTGTAAACACCTATATATAGGTCATTGTACATATAGTATTATTCAAGAAAGCAATAAACCTTTCTTCAAATACTTTTACTCCTTTTCAATTTCTAACATGGTATCAAAGCAATAAGCTCCTGGTTTTTCTTTTATCACTGCTTAGTTACTGAGTTAGATTCTCAGATTTATTTCGAATCTGAAACTGTCATTGGGTTCTCTTCTCCTACAGTTTGAATCTTGGCATCTATTTCTTTATATTTTTGGAGATTTTTTTAAGTATTGTGAGTTCTATTGATTCTATGGTGAGTTTTGAAAGAACTATGACTTATCCTGCTGCTGCAATGGTTGCCAAAGAGGCAATAGACCAACCTATTGTCAATCTTGAATCTCTAAAACAAGTGATATTAAATCTTTTTAATGCCTCTACTGCTTTATCTGCTACTCCAAGTACTAAACCTTGGTATTTTGATTCTGGTTGTTGTAATCACATGTCTTCAATTACTGCTTATTTTTCTTCAATGTCACCAAATAATTCTTTTCCTGACATTTATTTTGCTGATGGCTCCCCTATAAATGTTAGTCACATTGGCAATATTTCTATAAATTCATTGACTTTACCAAACACTTTCTTGGTTCCAAAACTTAGTTATAATCTTTTATCTATTGGTCAATCATGTGATCTTGGCCTTGAAATAACTTTTTCTGCTCATGGTTGTTGTGTGCAGGACCCACAAATAGGACAACTTCTTCGAACTGGTCCCAAGGTGGGGCGTCTATTTGAGCTCAATTATCTGCATATACCACATCATAAAATGGATACACCATCATTTCCAAATGACCGATTCATTCAAACCCTACTTTGTACTGTTGAATTAGAGTTTTTGCAAATTCTATATCAACAATTCTTCAAAGCCTGTGTTGCTACTAATATTTCTCCTCTTCATTTATGGCACTCATGGCTCGAACACACCTCAGTTGGTAAACTCTATCCTCTTATCTCTCGTGGTTTATTAGGATCTGTTTCGTATAAATTATTGCATTATGTGTCATGTCAATCTGCAAAACAACCAGCTTTATCGTTTACTAGTGGTCATTCTCTTTCTTCTACTTCTTTTAATCTCGTGCACTCTGATGTTGGGGTCCATCTCTGACACTTACCATGGGGGGATACGAGTACTTTATGTTATTTGTTGCTGATCATACTCGTTTTACCTAGATATATCTTATGAAAAATGGCTCTGAGTTATCACAAATTTATATTGATTTTGCTATTATGGTCAAAACACAATTCTCTAAAATTATTAAAGTTTTGAGAACTAACAATGCCACTGAATATCTTAGTACTAAACTTCAATCCTTTATGAAAGAATAGGGTATACTAACACAACAATCTTGTCTTTACACTTCTGAATAAAATGGGCTAGTCGAACATAAACATAAACACATCCTTGATTCTATCCGTGCTTTGCTCATTTCGTCTTCTTGTCCAGAGCGATTTTGGAGTGAAGCTGCTCTTGCAACAGTTTATCTCATTAATCGGATTCCATTATCGGTTGTAAATAATAAGTCTCCATATGAATGTTTGCATGGTATTCCTCCTACTTATCATCTTCTTAAGGTTTTTAGTTGTGTTTGTTTTGTTCTTCTTCCACTTCATGAACATAATAAGTTACAGCCTAAAGCTCGATTATGTTGTTTTTTGAGTTATGGGATTACACATAAAGGATATCGTTGTCAGGATCTTGTATCACAAAAACTTCGAGTCTCACGTCATGTTGTCTTTTGGGAACACACTATGTTTTCCTCATTATCAAACTTCCAAGTGTCATCTTTTGAACAACCTCCACTTTTTACTAACCCTTCTATTGAGCTTTTTCCTAGTGACTCTGATGCAGATACATTTGATGAGCTCCATGAGGCCTTTCCACATGCTCCACCTAGTTCTAGAGAAGATGTTTTGCCTGTTGGTAATGCATTAGACAATGTTGAGTCTTCTTCCCTTCCCTCTTCTGTATCACCTATTGGATCTAACCCTGTTGATATTGAGCCTAAAAATGAGATCCTTGATCCACCTTCAAGTCATCCTACTCAGGTAAGAAATCCTCCTAGCTATCTTCATGATTATCATTGTTTTCCTACTATTACCTCCTTACATGAGCCTCAATCCTACCAAGAGGCCTCTTCTAACCCTCTTTGGTAGCAAGCTATGTTAGATGAATTACAAGCTCTTGACAAAACTTGTACATGGCATTTAGTTGATCTTCTTGCTGGAAAGCCTCTAGTAGGTTGTAAATGGGTGTACAAGATTAAAACTCGATTTGATGGTTCCGTGGAGCATTACAAGGCTTGTTTGATTGCTAAAGGATTTACTCAAGAATATGGGATTGATTATGAGGAGACCTTTGCACTTGTTACTCGTCCTACTTTAGTTTGTAGTTTGATTGCTATTGCTATTGCTAAAAGATGGAAATTGTTTCAGATGGATGTGAAAAATGCCTTTCTAAATGGTGATCTTGCAAAGGAAGTTTACATGAAACCACCTCCTAGACTTGAGCATCCTCCAAACAAAGTTTGTCGATTGAAGCAAGCTCTGTATGGTTTGAAACAAGCACCTCGAGCCTGGTTTGCCAAGTTTAGTACCACCATCAATGAATTTGGTTTTACTTCTAGTCCTCATGATACTACACTGTTCATACGCAAAACTAATCATGGTATGGTTCTACTACTTCTTTATGTTGATGATATGATCATTACTAGGGATGATATTTCAAGTATTCATGATCTTAAGCAATTTCTCAATCATAAGTTTGAGAAGAAAGATCTTGGTGTTTTGAGCTATTTCTTGGGACTTGTGGTCACCTCTTCTGATGATGGTTATTTTCTCTCCTAAACAAAATCTACTTCTGATCTTATATCTAAAGCTAGACTCACTGATAGTAAGACTACATCTACTACTTCTAAGCCAAATGTTCGACTGACATCCATGGATGGTTCTATATTAGCTGATCCTGTTTGCTATAGACAGTTGGTTGGAAGTCTAATTTATCTCACTACAACACGACCAGACATAACTTTTGTAGTTCATGTTGTTAGCCAGTTTATGGCTACACCTCGCTCCACTCACTATACAATAGTACTTCACATTATTCGGTATATTAAAGGTACCATGTTCCATGGCCTTCACTTTTCTACTCATTCATCTCTTGAACTTCGTCTCTATCGTTGATTGGGTTAGAGACTCTAATGATTGTAAATCCACCATTGGATATTGCTTTTTTCTTGGTGATTCCTTAATCTCTTAATGTAGCAAGAAGCAGACATTTCCATCACGTTCTAGCACAAAGGCTGAATATCGAGCACTTGGAGACACCACATCAGACTTACTTAATTTATGTTGGCTACTAGAGGATTTTGGTGTTTCTTAACCACCTACTGCTAATCTTTATTGTGACAATCAAAGTGTCATGCAGATTGCTCATAATGATGTCTTCCATGAATACACTAAACATAATGAGGTTGACTGTTACTTTGTTCGCCATCATGTTGCACAAGGAACTGTTCATTTAGTCGTTATTGGCTCCGTTATCGACTAGCAAACCTTTTCACCAAGGCTCATTTTCTTGGACGCTTTCATACTCTTCTTTCCAAACTCAAGTTGGTTTCATCACAACCACCTTGAGTTTGAGGAAGGATATTAAGATGTGGACACAATAATTTAGATTATATTCGTACTTATTATAAATATTTTATACCTTATAATATTCTCTTTATATACTTTGTACTTTAAAATATTCTTTTTGTAAATACTTATATATAAGTCATTGTACATATAGTATTATTTAAGAATGCAATAAACATTTCTTCAAATACTTCTCCTTCTTTTCAATTTCTAACAAAACCCAACTCTAACTCTAAACACTTTAGACACGCAGTCAAAATAGCAACAAAACTGTATTCATTAGGCTCAACACCGGCAGTCATCATCTTCATAAAAAGCCTTACCGCTTCATCTTCTCTATTCAACTTTGCAAAACCCGAATCAAAGCAGTGTAAGACACCACATCGGGGCAAGAGAGACCCATGAAAACTTTGTAAGCATCTTGAAAAAGACCCAGCTTGAGATACACCGTAATTAGAGCATTACGCATATGGGAATCTTCCTCAAACTTGAGAATACAGGCATGCACAGCTCTGGCGAGCTCGGTATCTCCACACTGAACGGAAAGCTGAAGCAAGGAGGAGAATTTAGTAAAGAGAAGGCGAAATAATTCATGCGTCGAAGAAGGATCATCGGGTAGTAGACTTGAATCCAGAGGGGAAAGAAGCTTTGGATATATAGGCAGAGATTGTGCTTTGGAAGAGAAGCAGAAGAGATTGCCGTGGTGGGGTTTGACATTGAGGAGAGAAAGGGAGGTCAGGCACAGCAGAGGTGGAGGTGGCGGTGGCGGTGGCGGAGGCGGTTTTGGTGGGAAGTTAGACCGGAGGAGTTGGAAATATTGGGGATGGATAACGGCTGCCATCGGCAAACTTCGCAGGC